ACCCCCCCCCCCCGGAGAACGTCTTCGTGAGCCTCTCATGATTTCAGGATAGTTGAAACCCTCTTGAACATTTAGAAAGAGTGCACATGAAATTCTAATCACGAAAGGTGTTCCCCGAGGGGATACATACCTAGAGTTTGTTTTGTGAAGCACGTCAATTCTCTCCTGGGGAGCGTCTTCGTGGGCCTCTTATGGTTTCAGGATAGTTCAAATCCTATGATGCTCCGATTCAATGCTCACCGATGATCTGATCCATGGGGCAAGTTTGTTTTCCTAAGAATCTTTTTGAACATTTCCAGAGCATATGTTTGAACAATTAGAGTGCATATGAACATATATTTACGATTTACGAAAGGTCGCCTCCGAGGGGATAAATCACCATGTCGAACATTGCATTTTGTTCCTGCCTCTCGCGTTCTCTTCTCTTCCCGCTGTCCTACCTTTCGTGTCTCCCTCCTCTCAAGTGGGTCAGTTGGAGGCTGTGGCATCTCCGGCTCCAGATAGGTTGACCTAGACCTGGACCTTAGTAGGTCTCAAGACAGCCTTCGGTGGTTGAAAGTCTCTGCTCACCTCACCTCAGGAGCACTTCAGCCTCGTCTTGAGCTCGGCTCGCAGCACCGCGGTGAGCTATTTGAACCGCCCGGGGATCGTAGAGCTTCGGAAGCAGGACGAACGTCCCTCGCGCTGAGCAGGGGTTGGACGGGAGGACATCAAGCGAAGGAGCCTGTTTGGGGAGCTCTTCGGCAATCTGGGAACATCTATGGATGTCCTGGATATGATGCTGGTAGGGGTGGGAAGCCAGGCCAGGCCACAGTGTATGTTCTCAATGCACGGAGGTTTTGGGTACGTTATGGCCTGATCTGGACAAATCTAGTGCTAGATTGATTACTGCAAACAGCAGGCGGGGGGCAATCACAATGACTCCTCTGGCAGTCATAGACACTTTCTGGTTTCCAAAAGCGACGTTGAGAAGCGCCTGCTGAGGCTTCTACGTGACCATCTCCATGCAGAGCTTCAAGCGTGGTATGCCTTTGTTACCCGCCTTTCCCAGCGAAGCCGCTGTGACTGAAATTGATGCTGGAGAGCCCTATGGGCTTCGGCGCTGGTTGCGCTATGAGCCGAATTCGCAGAAGTTCCACTTGTCCTCCTATTTGCAGGTCTTCCTGGCCCGCTTGGGATATCAGGTTGACACCTATGATCCTTGGATTGCGTCAAATATAGGGCACCTCAGAGAGAGTGACGCCAGAACATCACACATCTCACACGAGCAACGCAGCAGGCACAGAGCGAAGACAGCTGATGTTGGCGGTCTGCTAATACATGAAGAAGCCACAACCCACAAGTCAGTTGGGTTCTTGGGTTCAAACGTCACCACCCACAACCCATGAAGTCACCTGGGTTGTGACCTGCTAGTCTGCGCAGACACCGTGAAGAACACGACGAGACAACGTTTGTCGAACACGACCTGAAAAACACAACGTTCTGAAGAAGGCCTTCAGGTCACGGGGCCACACGAAGGCTCCAAAGCTCTGAGGAAAGTCACCCGGGATTGCCAACACACTGCATTGATCACTTCTGGAAAGCCAATTTTTCTGCAAGGCGTTCGCAGTTTGGCGTGCCGTCGAGAATCTGTTTCTTTCCAGGATTCTGACGCTTGATGGCAAAGGCTACTGAGAAAACCCGAGTTCTGCGGCTGAGGAAAGTTTGGATGGCCAGACTTTGGTGCCCTACCAATGCGTGGTGCGCCGTGACCAGTGGGAACTTCTTCGCGAGCGCTTTCTGTCGGCCTACGCGCTGCAAAAGACCGCCTATCGCCGGGCCAATGGCGGTTCCGGGGCACCAGGCACGACCCGTGACCCGTGACCCGTGGCCTCTTCTCGCCCTGAAAAGAAGAGAATGAGAGGTCGATGGGAAAGATGTGTTTTTTTTCCACTATACTTTTGGATGCTTATGCTTATGCTCATCAGGGAGGAGACGAAAGCCTGAACAATCAGGGGAGTTTGGTTCGTTAAAGGGTTGGTTGCGAAAGCCTCTTCAAGCGCCGTGCAGTGACCGTGAATTGCAAGAAGTTGTCAGGAATGCACGAGGAAGTTGTGCCGAAGTTCGTGGTGCTGCCGAGGGATGAGCATCTCCAGGAGCGTTTGGAGAAGGCAATGGAGCCGCGGTTGGTGGTACGAAAGACCTTCTTCGACTTGGAGGTGCCGTTGTCGCCGGCCGATGGGATGGACGGGTGTCAGCTGTTCACTTCTGTCGTTGGAGACGTGGAGAACAAAGATCTGAACGGGGGCCAATTGAGAGGTGGACGCGGAATCGCCTCATCAAAACCTGAGAAACCCTGTAGGCCTGAGGGTTTCTCATCATCTCTTTTCATTCGAGAACATCACACCATGCCGAGAGAACAGAACGCCAAGATTCCTGCTCCTCTTCTTTTGGAACTGACTTGAGAACCCCAAAAGGATCAACCTAAGATCAAGGTCAAAGAAGGACCTTGGCTGCCAGTGGCAGGGTGGAATCCCACCAGTAAATCCGCGAGTCCTCCAGGACCCCTCTGAGGAGGAGGAAGAACCACAAGCCCCCTCGCGCCGGCCTCGCGCCGGCCCAAGACCACTGCGCTTGGGCGACCAGTCCTGGTGGTATGAGGCAGTTGAAGTTGAGGTGGCCTCGGCCAAGCCATCGTGGGATTTACAGCGGCGCTTCTGTAAAGTGCTTGTAGAGATGCAGCTGCCGCTGATTTGGCGCCTGTGACATGCAAGGTTCGGTGGCAGGCCCCTGGTTTATATAATTCGATGATTTGATGATTTCCTGCCGACTATGCACTACGCGCTCGTGTATATGCTATAGCCGACCGGGTGATTCTACAGGTAGATCGGTAGGACAATTATTGCATCAGGCTGTAAAGATGCCAGGTTGCTTGGCAAAGGGCGGATGCACCTTTTGGTGCTGTAGCCAAGTGCACTAGGTGTTTTCCGCTATGCCCTGATCAGATCCCATCCGCGCATTGTATAGTTGCATTGGTGTGCGACGGATGAAGCCAGCTCTGAAAATCCACTGCGATCTGTAGACATGTTTCTCCTGCGTTTCTGCTTCTTCTCATGATGGGTCGTTATTTTATTATGGCTGCACTGGCTGCACCATGTCATTGTCAATAATATCCCACGCCTCCACATACTCCATCCTCTTAGTTGGGCCAAAGCCTTCTTGCTCAGGACTTGTCTCAGAATTCCCTCACACATCTAAACCTGGAACTCTTCCAGCCTATGGTGTCGTTGGAGCACCTTGGCCATTTAATGCAGCGGCCAGCGTCCGCGTGTACTCAACTTTGACAGGAATTCCATGTTTCCCACCAAGCTGGTTAAGGGTGCAGCACCCAATCATTGGATGAGTAAACTCTTCTCAGGTCTTGTGACAGGCCTGATCTTTCTCGGGGAACGCCGCACCCAGATCCCTGCTTTGGTTGGCTTTCTTCGGCGCTCGGCGCGGTTTGGCTTCGGCGCTCGGCGCGTCTCAGGTCCTTGGACTTGTCCCAGAACCACCTGGAGTGCCTCGAGGGGATCTTCCCACTTGAGCACCTCTTGGAGTTGAATCTCTCCCACAACAACCTCACCGCGTCTTGCATGCTGGGTATTTTTCAGAGTCTTGGACGGCCGTATGGGGCCATTGGTTGCATGAGTGGCTGATATAGCATGCTCACGCATCAAGATGAGGCCATTAATCTGAGGCTCTTGGATGTCTGGAAATGAACATGAATTCCACATGATGGGCAGACAGCCTAAGGAACTTGAGCACCTTGGAAAGTCTGGATCTCTCCTTCAATCACCTCAAGTCCCTCGAGTCCGGCCTGTCCGGAGCTCAGGATGCGAAGATAGGATCAGGGCACTGTGCCCATCCAGCGGGTGGACTCGGACAGGGCGAAAGGAACGGAGAGCAGGACTGTGGGTGGATGCAACTCGATCATGAGACACACAGGTCTCGCGCAACGAGTTAGTCTGCAGAGCTCCGAAGCGAGCGTGCGGCTCCGTGCCACTGAAACCGCACGCGAGCTGCGCCCGTGCTGGGCGCGAGCGGCGGAAAGCGTCCCGGCGCTCGATCCGAGGTTTCAAGGGCTGGCTGGGTTGGAAGTGCTGAGTGTGAGCCACACGGGGCTCACAGATCTCTCGTGCAACGTGTCGGAGAGGACCTCTGCCGGGGGCCCGGGCGGTTTGCGAAAACGGTCTGAGAGGTGTCACCACACCGATCGAGTCTTGGAGCCACACCACAAGGGGTTCGAGTGGTTGCAGACACAGCTGCCAATGCTCTTTTGCACTTTTAAAGAGATGGAGGATGCCCCCCCCTCTCTCTCTCTCTCTCGTGGCTCTTGAACCTGAGGTTGGGGCAACGGCAGAAGGCCACCGGCTTCTTGATGACGGTGCTGCCGGTGCAGAAGGCCGTTGTCAGCCAGAAAAAATCCGCAGCAACGAACACATGTTTGATCAAGTGACGTGGTCTTTCAAAGGCGTTCTCTCTTTTTCCACGGTGGATGCCTTGCACAGGCTTTGTGCAGTTCATTTTTGGAATTGGGGCTTGTCCAACATGCCACTCCCCTTTGGCCCCACTGCCGCAAGTGCGCAGGAGCAGAAGGGGGATCGCATGGGATTTTTGCACAGCTTCCCTCACTTCTGGTGCTCAACATGTGATGCGCCCAGTGACCAGGGGGTGCAGATCGTAGACGGTCAGAGAATTAGGACACCCCTTGGCGCAGGCGCAGGTGACAGATTTCCTTCCAAGCCTCTAACCCGAACTGTAAGTCAATTGGCTTGATCGGTTATGTAAATAGATAGATGATAGCACACACATATAATATATATATATACACAGTATATGATGTAACTTTATACTTTTTCAGAATGGTCTTTCAATTACCTCCTCGATCGACATGCCCCAAATCACACGTTTCTCACCACCTCCCATTTCCACCGTGTCGCTGACTCAGCGAGGTCTGGGAACCACTTCGCTGAGCTGGAGCTGGACACCTTCCAAACGTGCCTGGGGCCGCCGGTCGCGCGCCGGGGCGACAGGACAATTGTTGAACCATTTGCTTGAAACCAGAAGGATCAAGGAACATGGCCTGCAATGCCTGCTACTGACTTTTCCACCAATTGGGCTTTTTTCTTTGTCTGTCAATCTCTGGCACCATTGGAGTGGTGGACACACAATCGCGAGGCCACTGGAACGCTTGGTTGTGGTTGGTTGTGGTTGGTTTGGACCGAGGTCCATTTCCTTGTCACGCACCCTGTCCATGCTTTCTTTTGGTTTTTGTTTTTTGGTTCTTTTGGAAGCCTGAAAACCATTTGATAGGCTTGAACAAGTTGTACCTAACCGCCAGCAGGGAGCACAGTCATGAGACATTTTGCGCTTTTGCTCATCCATGTTGGTACAGTTCGCGCATGTCACTGCATGGAGAACGGATCCACTACGGAAGCAGAGGTGTTTCTCAGGTTCACCACCAGCGTAGCTATGCACAATGTCCTTTCACTCGGGGGTTTCTGGGGTGGTTCGACCTACTAAACCCTAGATTCCCACACGATTAGCTTGGATGTGCATGCTGATCGAACAGCTCATCTGGAATCTTTCAGACATATATCCCGAGCACTCTTGTCGACAATCGCCCAGGGAAGACCACTCCTTTCGGATGGTAAACCTAGTAAACCTAACGTCCAGGTCTATAAACCCCTCTTTCCTCAGGTCTTCTCGCGCTTCGGACCCGGTCGATGATCCCAAGGCTTGGGAACTTGTATACTCTGGCCGGGGCCTCAGTGTGTTGGATATCGAAGTGTGAAGTTTGGCGTTTGTCTGGGCACATACATGAGTAATCTCGGGGTGTTTATAGACTTGCAAAGAACATTTCTCGCTGATGGGGGGCTAAGCCACCAAACCACCATTCTTGCAGCTGCGAGGAGGCCACACCGGAACACCTGAGGACCTCTCCGACACGGCCTTGGCGAACTTTAGCATGGAGCACTTTCAGGATGAACGGGTTGGACAGCCCGGGCGTTTTTGGAAGGCCCTTGGCAGGCTGCAGCTCTGGTGCTTGCAGATGTGGTGCCACCAAGGGGGGTTTCTTCTGGCGGTTCGCAAGAGTGGGGGCCGTCTGGCCACGCCAATGGCCTAACTCGGACCATGGCCTAACAATTTCAGAATTCCAGGACAGTTCCAACTTGAAGTTCCTTTTCCTCTCCGACAATCTCATTGAGGTTACTTGGCCCAGTTGGGTAACTGAGCAAGGATCAGACATGCTCACTCGTGAACTGAAAGTTGTCATTTGCGTCAGAATCAGGTGGACAGAGTTCCAGGGTAGAGGGCACAAACCCACAGACAACCCTAGATGTTTGCTTAGTGTAAACCATCACTTGGGAGTTTGGTACCATCTACCTCTTGAAACACTGCTTTAGCCAACCAACTCAAAGGGTGTTTCCAACCTCGCACCGTGGCCTGTTTCCTCAGGTGCTGCCAAAGCTGAGGGGTTGGAACTTGAAGGTCTTGGACTTGGCGCGGAACCGCTTGAGCAACGTCAGCGGTTTGGATGGTGCTGTGATTGAAGAGCTGCACCTGGAGGAGATGGTGAGACTGACAGATGATGAGACTTGCGAGTTGCTGAGCCATTGATATCAGATGAGACACTCGGTCTCTCAGACTGTGAGCCTCTCAGACTTCCCATTTGTTCGACTGAGTTGCTCTCTGTGAGACTCCAACCGGTCCTGGGGAATGGACGTGTGATGTGCGTGGCCCAGCCGCCGCCCCAGGATGCGACCCTTTGTGTTCCACCGATCTTCCAGCCCGCTCTGCGCCAGGAGAATGAGATCCTCTCGGTGGACATGCATGTCTTTTCAGCGTCCCTGCGCTCGTTAAACCTGGTGCCTCGGTCGATCCAAGCGAATCGGTGACAAGCTGGGACGATTAGAGCTGGGGAGCAGGGGCAGGAGTTCAACGATCCCTTCTCTGAAGACTTCTTCTCCTTCTTCCTCCTCCTCCTCCTCCTCCTCCTCCCACCACACAGATCACAGAAGATTGGCGATCATCGACCCCCGGCGCCGCTGTGCCCTCCTTCCGCAGCGCGACGCTCTTGACCGCCCGTTCCGCCCGTTCCGCCCTTCGGCGCCGTTGCTGAAGCCGCTCCGCCGCCCGAGGCGCGGAACCGGCTGAGAAGCCTGGAGATGTCGGGAGAGTTCTGGACGCAACTGGAACAACTGGACCTCTCCGAGAATCAGCTCGTAGAGATCCAGGTCCCATTCTCTCGGCGAGATTGGGGAGATTGGGGCGCGAGCGAGCTTTGGGGCGAGGTTGGGGAGGTTGGGGAGGTGAAATGGATGAAGGACTGAAGTTTCAGCAGTTCGATCACGCATGGGTTTTATGATTGGTAGTCGCTGCAACTGGATTTGAAAGCCACCATTTTGATCGGACCAACTGATTCTACCCGCATCCTGGCATAACCCCTTTCCTCTGTTTCTCTTCTCATCTTGAGCCTTGGCAGCCCTTCGTCAGGAGGAAGACCTCCAATTTTTGAGAAACTCAAGTCTTCCCGCTTCGAAGGATGGCTTCTTCAAGCACCTCACCGAGCTGAAGATCTTGAGATTGTCCTGGAACCGGCTTCCTGGACATGCCTTGGTTCTCCCAACCCCTTCGGGTCGTCACCCCCGGAGCCGAAAGGATCCTCGGAGGTCCCTGGGGGATTGGGCCGACCAAGGGCCTCCAAACGTGGGAACGGACCGGCCGAGGCTTCGAACGTTGAGCTGGTCGATGGAGGACTTGCCCAACTTGCCACTTGGGAGCGAATTGGGATTCGCGGCCGGTCCAGAGTAGTTCTCTTCACAAGGTTTGGTGCTTTGTAGATTTGTACTATGCCCACCGTTGGTGAAACTCTGCCACTGTTCTTGGGAATCACCCTTACTATCAGGGAACAGAATATGCAGATGCCAGTGCAAGAATGCAGAACGCCTCTTGATAGGCTTGAATGGTTTGGGAATTTATGCAGGTCATTCAGGTGTGATTCATACGGTGCCGGAGCAAATGCTGGACATTTGTGGAGAGACGCATGTTGTATATAAAAAGGGCTAGGAGAGAAAGAGGGTCAGCATTATATATGTAATTCAGCGAGCAGAAGTGCAGCCTGCCTGAGGGTGCGGCAATGTATCCTGAAAATGCCGGGTTTAGGTTGCCCAGGAAGACCTATGGTTGTGAAGCCACCATGGTAAAGGTGGATTCAGCCGCTGCTCACCCAATGAGCTGCGAGATGCTCTCCCGGTTGCGCCTTCCTGTGCCCCAGCTGCAACAGCGAGCCGTCCAGGCACGTTTTGGAGCTCGCAGGGAATCAATTTGACGCCATCCCTTGCAGTGCAAGGAGCCCGGAGGCTTGCCCAGCTTGGGGGAAAAGCAGAGCGACCTCTTGCCACATGGGTTTTGTCGCCGAAGCAAATGAATTGGGGGTGAATGAACACCCGACTTGGACTTCTTGTTTTGTAAGACGTGACTTCACTAGTCGGTCCGCAGATCGATATCGATGCGCCTGCGACTCGGCTACAGGTGCTGAACTTGAGATGGAATCAAGTGGTTTACGTCGAGGAGGACGGTTTACGCGGTGAGGGTTACGATCGAGATCGGAGCTCTTGAGGTTCCAATGGTTCACAGGAGTTTGAGCACAGAAAGTGAGGGAAAGACAGCAAAGGGACGTAAAGGATCGTAAAGGGACGTAAAGAGGAAAGAACTCGTTCCTGTGCCTAGTGTTGGATGCATCGCGCAGCTGATTTTTCTGAAAGGCAACCCATCCTCTTCGGATAGTCTTGGGTCATGAGACCAGGCATTGTCCCCCATACGCTCGCCCCCAAATCACACACCCAAATCACATTCATCTACCAGACCTTCCTTCTGCACCCATGTCGAGCTTCGTGGCTTTCCTCTCTGGCGCCGACCAGTATGGACGATGGGTCCCTGACGAGGAGGTCACGGCCAGCGCATACCTGGGCGGTTCGACGGTGGACTTCAGCCAGGCTTTGTTTGAGCACCCGGTGATCACCATCAGGAGCACCGCTTTTTGGGGCAGCGTCACATTGATTGTACCACCCAACGTGAAGGTGGAACAGGACGGTGCGGCCATTTTGGGCGGCTTCGGCGATGTGGGAGGTGTTTGGCAAAACACACTGAATGACCTTCCGCAGAATCTCCAGAATCCTCCAGCCGTGACCATCCGCGCGGTCGGCACCGCCCTGATGGGCACAGTGAAGGCGGTGGTGAATCCGCGAGCGGCTCCTGCACAACTGCTGAGCCATGATGAGGTTGTACGGATCTTGCGAGAGGTGCCAGCAGAGCCCTCCACTACCGTTCAGGACTTCATGGGACAAGCACTACATGCACATGCACAAGCCCAAGCACAAGCCCAGCAAGCGCGACAGGCTTCAGAGCAAGCCATGGCACAGGCACTTGCACAAGCTATGGGGGCTGCAGCTGGCGCAAATGCTGGCCTTCCTGTGTCGGGTGCACCAGGAGGCGTGCCCATGGCGCCTGTACCCGCTCCAATGGGTGCTGTACCCGGGCCAGACCCAAGGCAAGCATTGCTTCAAGGCCTTGTGACGGCACAGGCGCAGAGTGGTGACCCAAGAGCAGCACTGCTACAGCAAGTGCTGAATGCACAGACGGCAACGCAAGCGCAAGCTCAACCAGTTCCACAGCAAGTAGCGCCAGCACAGGGGCATCCTGTTTCTGCAGGAGGAAACTTGCAAGGTATGGATTGAGCCTTCAGCGTGTGCTGACAGGCATGTTTGGTTTCACAAACTGTACTCCCAGTGCCGTGTTGCCAGAGTTGGCCAAGTGTGTAAACGCAACAGCCAGCAGTAGCGGCGCCTGCCGCCTGTGGGTTTGCATGTCCGTTTGTTTGCCATGCAATCTCAGGGAGCAGGATGCTTGTTGAGAAGGAGTTGCCTTTAGGTGTTCATTATTCATTTGCGGCAGTGTATAGGTGGGACTTGTCCATGTCGAACAGAGACAAATCTCCGACTGCCAACGAGAACTGGAGAAAAGGAAGCGACGCGCAGCCAAGAACTGGGTCCTTGCTTCGCGGCTGAGCACCTCCTCCGCTTCGCGGTAACCAAGCATTGTAAGGCCCATGTCACCCTCTTTGTCGGTTCGCGCAGGAGCTACCCTGTTTGCAGCGGACCCGTATGTTGGACTTATCTCACAACAAGCTTCGTGTTGTGAAGCGCCCTTGGCAAGACTTGATGGGGCAAGCGACAGACGTGTGCGTGCGAAAAAACCCAAGGATCCCGGTGCCTTTGGTTCAGGCAGCTCAGGTCATTTCGCAAAGATTCACGTCTCTTAAGCGGTGGGATGGGATGATGGTCATCATGACCACGCAGTGCCTGTTGTGCACAATTGCCCTGCACACCACTCCTGCATATGTTGAATAAGTAAATCAATGTTAAATAACATTTGCACTACCAGTGAGCTGAAGAAGCAAAGTTCACTCATGAGACTGCGGGAATGCTTCATATATTTATAAAACTGTGTCGAGCTTTGGGCAGGTTTGGGTGCACAGTCTTCATTACATTTGGTACACTGTCCATTTTGGCTCAAGCCAAAAGTGGGACAGTGGAGTTTCTGTTCTGCTAATTTTTGCGGTGTGTGCTGTGGATGACTTCACAGCCTATCGTCGGTGTGCATGTCGCCATGTTCACGGCTGCTGAGGTGCTTTCGTCCGCCGCGTTCATCGAGTTCCGTCGCCAGGTCGATGCCCTTTTGGCCCGGGGGGACCGGGCAGGCGCGATGCGGCTTTGGAGCTCGGTGGTTCTCTTCGAGCACATGCCTCCGTCTTCACGCCCGGGGGACGGGCCAGCTGGTTTCCCCCCTATGCGGATCTCAGTGTGTCCTAAGAGTGCCTGCCCACGGTGCGATCAGGGGCGAGGGGGCTATGTTTTCCCGTGGGTCGGGATTTGGAGCCGGCGCGGGACGATCGTGCCATCCGGGTTCACTCCTCAGCAGGCCTGGGATAGGCATGCTCGGTTGGACGCCAACATGGACCTCCTCTTGTTGCAGCCCTACCGTACCCCGTACTCTGCCGAAAATTTTGTGCCCTCCTATCTGTGGGAGTTCCAGCAGAAGGTTCCTGGGGATTTTGACCTCTTGCCCCTGCAAACATTTCAATCTGAAGTTCTCTATTATATGCGACACTGGATCATGGGATCACCACATGGGTGGTGGTCCAACCCCTTGCGTGCCCCACTGCCAGATCTTGAGCATCTGCCGCGCCACCTGGAAGCTCTTCACCCGAAGATTCGTGCCCATCGAGCCCTTCGTGGATGGTTGGGGTCCTCAATCAACGGAGAGTCGGAGTTTCCTCCAGCGTGTTGCGGCTGTGCTTATCGGCAGTGCCTTGGTTGTATCAAAGGAGTGTGTTCCGCCTGTTTCCCAGTGCTCCAAATCTGTCCGGTCTGCCGCGAACTTTCGTCGTCTGATGACGATAGTGGGTAGTTCAGCGGGTGCGCAAGCCATGGTGTACCGTGCACAAGTCGCTGGAGCGGTGGACGCTCCGCCGGACGAACCGGCTTCGTCCTCTGGTTGGCGAGCCGAAGACAGCCTTGCTAGGGTGGCAGGGGCCCGTGCCATCACATGGCGCCGGGAACGGGGCTATGAGAAAGATGAGGACTTCGCCTTTGCCTTCTCTACCTGGGAGGAAGCTGTGGCCGTGGGAGGCCATTTCTTGGCGGACGCTTGGCTAGCAGTCCGGGTTGCCCAGCAGGATGAACTTCTCCCGGCGGCGGCGCGCTTGCTTGAGGGGGGTCCCCTGCTGCCGGATACACGTCCTCCACTGGTTCGCAAGCGGAAGGAAGTTCCACTTGAGGCGGGGGTACGCCTTCATGAGCGGGTGCAGGATCAGCCCGAGTCCATACAGCGCCAAGTGTTGGCCCTGCAGAAGGTGTTCCTGACCGTGGGGGCGTTGAAGCCGGTAGGCCTATTGACTGAGGCCCTGAAGCGGGATTGGCAGGCCTCCGTCCTTCGCTTGGCCCAGACCAAAGTGGCGGAGTCTGAGTCGGTGACGATTCAGAATGCTCTCCGCACCTATGGGGAGCTCCACGCCTTTTTGCTCCACCGCGGGAGGTCGTTCCCTCCGGACTTTGTGGACATGGACAACTTCCTGCATCAGGGGACGATGGCCCCTACCCGCGCGCTCAATGCGCTTCGTTGGCTGTGCAAGCATTCTGGAGCTCCTTGGGAAGTGGCCCGGCTTCGTATCTCTCCGGAGCTGAAGAAGAAGGCCACTTCTACGAAGAGCCAAGCCCTTGTTGTGGAGCCTGGCATGCTGCAGCTGTTGGAGGAACGCATTGAGAGCATGTGCCGTGGGGGGGGCCCGCGTTGGACATGTCTTCTCGGCTCTTGGCTGGTGGCTACGGGTTGCTTGCGATACCAGCATCTTCGCCGCTCAACCGTTTGTCGCATCAGCCCACTCGTGTTCCACGGCCACTGTCGCAAAGGCAAGCAGCGTCATGCTCGTGGCGGCTTTGATTGGTGTGCTCCAGCCGAGTTTGCCTCCACCTTCAACTGGACTGTGGAGTGGCTCAAAGCCTGGAAGGCTCTCTCTCCGGTGGCCCAGAAGAGTGCAGGGATCTGCTTTGACGGGCGTGGGACGCCTTGGAACATCGCTGAGGTTCAGCACCTATGCCAGTCGATCTTTGCCGAGTTCCTGGACAATACAGAGCAGTTGACCACCTACTCTTGGCGACGAATGCTTCCCACAGTGGGCCATATTCTGAATTTGTCGTCGTCTGATCTTTGCTCCCTCGGCGATTGGCAGGACAAATCCAAAGAGCCGGCTGAAGCAGGGATGGCATTGCACTATTCGTCAGCTCGGTATGCCCAGTCCCTTCGCAACAAGATCCTGGCCACTTCAGTGGCCCACAGCTGTGAGGGTCACAGCTTTTGGGAGGAGGTGCTTCCTGCCGATTTGGATGGTTTCCGCGAAGTGGCCAAAGACGCGCTTGCCATGGCCATCGCGAAGGACAAGGAGACGAGGTATGCGGCTCAGCCAACCAAGGAGTCGCTGAAGACGCACCTCCAATTCTCCAGGGCCCGAGTCGCTAAGGCAGCGGCCAACAAAATCCGAGGAAGCACCTCGCGCCAGACAGTATCCATGCCGGATGCCATCCGAGGCCGCGTGCTGACGGCTTTCTTGAAGAATGGGCGTCGCCTTTGCGGGGCTTTCCAGATGCCCGAGGGGTGCGCAGAAGGAGAGGAGGTTTGCGGGAACGCTCACCTCTGCGCTGTTCTTTTGGCCCGGGGGCGGGCTTGTGGCGGGAGCCACGGTGCATTTATTTGCACCGAAAAGAAGTACTTGGCGGCCGAGACGCCAGTTCCAGTTCGTGCGGCGGCGGCGTCAGCTTCTTCTACTACGTCCTCAAAGGCCAAACCCTCCTCTCGAGCCAAACGCCGGCGAGCGGAATCGCCCCAGCCAAGTGCTCGGCCTGATGCAGCAGAGGCCCTCTCTCCAAGGCCCAAGACGCCTCCGAAGGCACCTCCATCCAAGGCGGTTCCGCCCAAGTTGATTGCAACGTCGGCCAAGAAGACGCCGCGAGGTCCGCGGGATCCCTCGCCTCCACCGCTGGCCAGAACGCCTCCTTGGCGACAGTCTTCAGACCCAGCACCGAGCACCCTGCCTATTCCAGCAGTGTCGCCAGGACCTCAGCAATCTCACTGGGACCGGTTGGCCACCTCAGAAGGGCGTGACACTCTCGCCCCAACCCTGATCATGACGACTCGGTCAGGTGGCCAGCTGTGGCTCTCCGGTATTCCGATCGCTGAGACAGTGCAACATTTCCCGAAGGCTCACCTCCAGATCGCTTGTCTACCACAATACCCCGAGGGTCGGGGGGGCGTGTCGTTGCCGGAGGCATGCGTCATGAAGGTGCAGATGGGCAGCAAGCGCATGGATCAGGAGTTCAAAGCGGCATGGCCTCTCATCCACCAGAGCCTTCATTGTGGTGATTCAGTGCTTGTGCATTGTATGGCGGGCAAGCATCGGGCTCCTGCCTGCACAGCCCTCATCTATGCGCTCATGATGGGCACCTCCGTGGATGAAGCAGCCGAGAAGATCACCAAGATGCGGCCTTGTGTGGAGTTCCACAAGTTCTGCAGGGATCGCACGGCGGCACAGTGGCTTTATACGACGAGGCGCACTCTGTCGTTGCCACCCGTACACCCAAAGCCTGCTGGATATCTTGCTTCTGAACGTTCCAACATCCACCTGTGCACGGAGGGCCGCATCGCTCTGTGCCACTTCAAGCAAGGCGAAGCTCGAGTTCAGCAACGGCTCAAAGACGCCCACTTCTGCAGCAGCTTCATGGAAGCAAGTACGTTTGCCCGTCCGGTGTGCGGACCTTGCTGGAGCAAAGCCCCAGCTTCCTGGCAAGCGCGACACTGAGCTGCTGAGCAGCCGTCCAGCCTAGTGATCGCCGGACGGTTGCGCCCCATAAGAGCAGGCGGCCTCCGTAGATGCCCCTTTTTGTAGACTACGTCACGGGTAGACTACCGAGGCGACCGGAGAGCGCGCCACCAGCGGAAAGAAACCTGAGTGTCAGTGACTCTTCTGCTGTGCAGTTTGTCATTTGGGGGGTCATCCCCAAGTCAGCAGGAGTGCTGTGTGGCCCGGAGGTTCCAGGCCTTTGACACTAGAGCGTAACGGCGACGCAGCGTCCATGTTTTGAGCCTCATTTTCGTTCATGTGCACCTAGGATCTCCGCCTCGCCAGCTCCTTTTGGCCGTCAGAGGCGAGGTGGGTCCTCGTGGTACCACTTTGTGAGGTGGGTCCTCACTTTCCGTAGGGAGGGTCCCTGTGTCCCCACATGGCGTCTAGCTTGCAACTCGTGCCGAGTGACGGTGCGGATGCTGCGGCTACTTTCCGCCAGTTGGGGATTAACTTCAGCATAGCTGAAGCCGTGACCGATGCCTTGGTCAAAGCCCGGCTCCAGAACCTGGAGGAGTTTCGCTTCTTTTTCGAGAGTGAGGACAAGGTCCAACCCTGGTTGGCCAAACTCTCCCTGGGCGAGGATGCCGGTCTTCAGGGGGCGAGGGTTCGTCGGGCGTGGGCCGCCGTATCGCTCTACTTCAAACAATCCGAACAAGATCGGTCTCGCATCTCGGCATCTGATCTAGATGCATTGTTGGGCGACTCCGAACTTCGGGATTTGAAGAGTGCCTTTTGGCGTCGCT